GCCAGGGCCGTCCCGGGGTCGTTGGGAGCGGCAACTGTGCAGCGGCAGCTGCTGGCTCATTAACAGTCTGTCGGCACTTTAGACGGCCCCGCACCCGCCAACAAATCCCCCAGGCACAACCCAACGAGAGTGCAAAAGCTTGGAAAGGAAAGAGGAGAAAGCACTTAGCCGCCAAGCGCAAAAGGCTCCGGGAATGGCCATTAGCAATTAATGAGGCTGTAAAGTCCTGATGGGGATCTGGAGGGAAGGAGCCCAAGCAGGATCTAGAGAACCTGAGAAATCCCAGAGCCACGGGGGTGGCAGGGAGCTGCGGGGTCACATCCAGTCCTGAGGCAGGATCAGCTCCGTCCAAACCAGCCCAGACAAACCCTGGGTCCGACCTTGGAGCCATGCGACAGTCACCCCGACACAGCCCCAGGCATCGCCCCACCCACAGGGGCGCTGCAACCGCCAACGTCCTGCTGCTGCTGGGGGTGGGGGGTCAGGGATGCTGCAGAGACCCCAGGCCCAGGCCGCGCCCCCGCTGCAGAGGAAGGAAACCCCCCCCCAGTCCAAACCAGTCTGAGCAGGGGGGAAATCCCTTCCTGCCCAGTGCAGTGCTGATCTAAGCCTAAGCGTGGAGGCAAGATCCTCCAGCCAGGACCCTACGGGGTCGGTGCCAGCAGGAGCATTGGCACAGCCCAGCCCCATCCCCAGCCCGCGCTGCAGCAGCACCAGTGCCTCTGTGGGAGTATTAAAACCCCCCAACACATGGAGCAGAAAGGGGAGAAGGGGGCAACCAGCACAGCCCAGAAGCCTGGGACACCCCACAGCACAGCACGGGCATCGCTGCACCTAGAGCATCCCCCACCAGTGCCCGTCCACCCTCTCCTTGAACCCTCCAGTGATGGAGAGCCCACAGCATCCCTGGCATCTCTCCCACTGCCTCAGTGATTAAATCCACCTCCTCCAGTACATTAAGCTGGGGAGCGAGAGAGAGGATCTAATACCTAGGCCCTGGAAGAAGTCTCCAAGCAGAGCAGAGTCCAGTGCCCTGGACGGACCGCTCCAGGTCCGAGCTCGGCGGCACAGTGCTCACGTCCTCTCGGCGACTCGGGAAGGGCTGTGATACCGCGCCATGGAGCCCGGCCAGGCACACACAGAAGCACCGTGTCTCCTGCCCTCGTGGCTGTGAGGACCAACCTTGCCCAGCTGGAGGGAGCGCATGCCTGGTGACCATACCCTGGGGGGAACGGGTCTGGTGCACCCCGCGTGTGCCCATGCGTGTGTCTCTGCGTGGACTCTGCTGTGCAATGCTCACACTTGAAATGTCAGCATCGACTGCTCTGCTGCCGAGCGTCTGAGCCGGCAGGAGCAGGAAGGGGGTCGGGATTTGGAGCTGCTCTAGAAATAGAAATAGCAGGAGCAGAGAGAGGGGAGAGGGGGGATGGGGAGAAGGAGAAAGGCAGAAAAAAGGAAGCAGAAGCTTTGGCTTGGTGGGGACGACACCCAAGCACTGGGTGCACGAGAACGAGGGGCCCCGTCGTGATGCACTGCTCCCCATCACGGGCAGGCACCTCGCTGCCCTTGGGGGCACTAAATCTCCTGGCAGGGTCCCTGCTGCGTGCACCCAGCCCTGCACCATGTTGACGGCCTGGGAAGGGCTTTCTTTGCTGCTTCCACTGCTTCAGGGGGGCTCAAAAGAAATCAGCCCTCCTCTGTGCTGCCTAATCGTCTCCCCCCCGCCAGGTCCTCACACGGGACTGCTTCCCTCGCCTGCCCACCACGGCAGGCAGTATTTCAAGCCCAGCACATGGGGAAGGAAGCCTCCGGCATGACCTCCCTCAGCTGTTGGGGGCTAGTAGCTGACAGCCCCGAGCACCTCTCCACTCCCAGGCCGACAGCCCCCACCCCAGTAACCCCGTTCCCCAAGGCTCCTCCTTTTGGAGTAATACAGCCTCTGGGGTGGGGGTTTCCAGCACAGGACAGCATCAAACTCACCATGGAGGGGAGGGTGCAGGGAGCCCCGGAGACGGCATTATCCTGTCGCCTCCCAGGAGTGAGAGGGGAACGGAAGGAGAAAGGACCTCAGCTCCTTCTGCACTGGTTCAGGGCCGTATCTGGAGCAGGGCACAAGCCTGGGGGGCTGTGGGGTGGGCGTGTGAATGGCCTATCGCACAATTTAGCAGGATCAGGGCTCCACCGCCTGCCCGTGGCTCTGCTGAAGGCCCACATGCACTTTTGCCCCATGGAAAGGGGAGCCCTCGCCCCTCTGGGTCACAGGGCCGAGCTGCCGGCAGGAAGGGGAGAGACTCAGGCCAAGCCACAGGGAAACCCCTGCCCAAGGCAGCTGCCAATGGGACCGGCTCATCTCAGAAGCCATTAAAGAGCCGCGCGGGGCCTGGTGCACCCAGCGACCCTAGAAAAAATCTCCGCCAAGGGCTGCCCATGCTCCAGCCAGAAGATACTGAGTCTCTTTACGTCATCTACATCCCCGCTTTCTGCTCCACGTGTCAGGGGGTTTCAGCCTCCCCAAGAGGCGCTGGGCTCTGCCAATGCTCCTGCTGGCACCAACCCCACAGGGTCCTGGCGGGAGGGTCTTGCCCCTGCACTCAGGCTGCACTGGGGCAGGAAGGGATTGCCCCCCTGGTCAGACCGGTGTGGACTGGGGGGGGTCCTTCCTCTGCAGCGGGGGCCCAGCCTGGGCCTGGGCTCTCTGCAGTGCCTATGAACCCCCGGCAGCAGCAGGACGTTGGCAGCCACGGCCCCCCTGCATCCCGGCGGCGGGGGCGATGCCTGGGACTGTGTCAGGGGCAACTGTATTGCGTGGCTCCGAGGTTTGTCTGGGCTGGTTTGGATGGGGCTGATCCTGCCTCAGGCTGGGACTGGATGTGACCCTGCAGCTCCCTGCCCGCCCCACGGTGCTGAGACTCTTGATGCAGCCCCTCACCAGGCAGCAGGAAGCCCCCCCTGGAGCTGACGCCCTCTCGCCAGCCTACGACAGGCAGGGGTGGGAAGCCTGGAAGAAGACTGTCACCCGCACGGCGCTCAGGGGTCCCGGGCGGCGCGCAGGGCTTACCTGCTCCTCGGACAGCTGCGAGATGTGGTTCACAGCGGCGTAGGACTCGATTTTGGGGTTGAAGTGGTTGATGATGGCTCTGAAAGGGAAAGGGGCAGCGTGAGCAGGCTCCCCACTTCCTTGCCCCGGTTCTGGCCCAGGCACTGACAGGGGGTCTCCAAAACACCCGTCCCTCCAGCCGCCCCATCCCCGGTGCTCCCTGCAACCTCTGCGCGGCGAGGCCCGCGGTGCCTCTGTCCCATGCCCGCACCGGGCGCAAAGTGCACTCAGCTCTGGGGCAAGGGGATCCCGCGTGGGCTGGGCCATGTGACAGCAATTCGCACGCCCACCCCACAGCCCCCCCAGGCTTGTGCCCTGCTCAGAATACAACCCTGAACCAGTGAAGAGGGAGCTAAGGTCCCAGCTCGAGTGAGGACCCCAGTACGGACTCCGTGAGGACTCCCTGGCGACCCAGCACCGGACAGATGGATGCACGGCATGCAGAGTCCTATCCGCTGCTGCACAGCCCCTCGGGGAGTGCCACTGCCCCACAGCGTGGCTGGGGGACACCGGGGCCTGGCCAGCGCCCTGGGCAGCCACGGCAGAGGGGTTGTGAACAGGGACCCCCGGTGCCCGGCTGGCTCCCAGCTGACTGGCCTCACTCACTTCCCCTCCCCACGGCCCGGCCCCGCGCTGGGGGTCTCAGCACCACCGAGCTGTGCCGGGTGCCTTGCCCCCGAGCGCAGACAAGGAAGCAGCAGGTCCCCGGGGTGATGCCCCCTGCTCGGGCGGGGGGCTGCGGAGGGAGAGGGTCCGGGGGCTGCTCCCACCAGCACACCGCACAGGAAGGCAGCCAGGGCTTTCTCTCCTCATTGGCATGACAACGCTCCGGCTCTCTCCCCCGCGCTCGCCCCCTCCTTGCCTGGTGCTTTCCTCGGGCCCCAGGAGAGGCGAGGAGCCAGCGTTGGGGGCCCTTGGAAGAGCAGCGCCGAGCTGGGAGGCAGGTGCGCAGCGTCTGCTCCTTCCCACTCCGGTGCAATGACAGGCGTCTGCTTAGGTCCCCGTCCCCACCCTTTGGGACGCCCGCCGAGACGCCCAGGAGCGCGCTTCCAGCCGCTCGGCTCCTGGCTGGGCTCGAGGTAGCACGTGGCAGCCCCCGGCCCGGGGCCAGGCCAGAAGGACACGGTCGTGGCCTGCCGTGCTCAAGGCCTTGAGGACACGGTCGGCCGAGGCTAATGGACTGCGATGCTCCTGCGTGGGCCCAGCCCGGCTGTCACCTCCCTTCTCCCTCCACACGCAGTCCCCGAAACCCCTGCCCAAGGGGCCAATGCAGCTGGGGCCCCCGCGTACAACTCAGAGCTGCCCTGGATATAACTCCGGGCCCATCTCAACACGCTGCGACCGCCGCCGCTGAGTCAGCCGCCAGCGACCGTCGCCGGCCCCGTTCCAAGCCTCCGAGACGCCGAGTGGAGCAGAAGCGTGAACGGGCTCGCGAGCCGTGATGTTTTAATTATTCGTTATGCCCATTAGTGGCTTAATTAGTCATTTGATGGTAAGACGGTTACCTTTAAGAACAACAGAGCGCCTGCCTGGCTGGAGGCGGCGTTGGCTGCCGAGCGCCAGATGGGCTGCACGCAGCGGCCTCTACGCGCCGAGAAGGAAATTATGCTCCGTCCCAGTGGAGTCTTTTAGAGCTCCCCGGGAAGGGCAATCGCAGAGGCTGTCTGGCTAATTAAGCCACCACATGGCGAGCAAAGCCTCCTGGCATTTTGAGGGGATTTAGCTGCATCTTCCTGGCCATGGCGAGCCCGGCCGTGAACTGGCTGGTGCGTGCAGGAGGGTCTGCTGGCCCCCCCATGTCGGGGTTCGGGGAAGCACCTGTGCCGGTGCATCTCCGTGGGGTGTCAGAGCTACTCCTGCCCGCGCACGGGCCTCTTGCCAAGCCACCCTCTCCCAGGAGACGCTCCTGGCCTGAATGCCTGGGAGGACGTGAGGGCTAGAAGGGCCCTCAGGGGGTCACATCTAGTCCAGCCCCCTGCTCCAAGCAGGACCAGCCCCAACTACAGCATCCCAGACAAGGCTTTGTGTAGCTGGGGCTTCAAAACCTCCACGGATGCAGACTCCACCACCTCTCTGGGTAACCTGTGCCAGTGTTTCACCACCCTGCTAGGGAGAAATGCTTTCCTAATATCCAACCTCAACTTCCCTTGCTGCAGCCTGAGCCCATTGCTCCTTGTCCTGTATCTGCCCCCACTGGGAACAGTCCAGCTCCATCCTCTTTGCAACCCCCTGCAGGGAGGTGAAGGCTGCTATTCAATCCCCCTCGGTCTTCTCTTCTGCAGACTCAGTCAGCCCAGGTCCCTCAGCCTCTCCTCACCAGTCCTGTCCTCCAGCCCACAACCATTTTCGTTGCCCTCCGCTGGACTCTCTCCAATGTGTCCACATCGGGAAGAGAAAAGGACACAAGGATGTTAGCAAGGAGTCTCAAGCACACACGTGTGCTCGCACACTCAGGTACCTGCGGGTCCCTCTAATGTTAAAAGCATCCAGTAGTGACTACCCGCTCTTTGCAAGAAATGCTGTGGGGTTTCCAACCCCGGTCCCCATGCGTGCCCCCAGCTCCCTCCGTTCAAGGGCTGCCAAGAGGTTACACGCGCAGGCCCGGTCCCCCCGGCCGTTCGGCCGCAGTCAGGCACCGGCTCTGGTCTCCCGGCCGGCGTTCCCTGCCCACACCGTGCAGTCATGCTTGGAAAAGACGGGTGATAAAGCCAGGGCAGGAGAATCTCAGACACAGCCGGCTCCCCCATCCCGGCCTCATTCCCCTGAATCCACGTCTTCCACAGACAAAGGAAGGATCTTCCACCCTTTCTCCAGCGCTTGGGGACAGACACACGCCGCCTTCACTGCCACTGCTCCCAGCCCAGCTCCCCCTCCCCTCCTCTCCACAAAGGATGTTAAACCACCAGAACTGTATTATTACCGTACTGAAAACACTGGGTCAGACACTCCGGGGCCCGCTCGATATCACTGGGATTAATTGCCGTTCTTAGTGGCTCATGGGTGCCAGCTGAGACACACATGCTAAGGGCCGTGGCATTTGACGGTAATGAGCAGTGACACTTATCTGTCTGAACAAGCCAAGGCTTGGCAAGAGCCGCGTGATGCTGCAAAGGGAAAAAAAATGACATAAAGCTCTTGGGAAAAAAAAAATTAAAAAAAAATGAACTGAAGGCTTCCAGAAGGGCAAGATCCATCCTCGAGCCAAAAATAGCATCCCCCCCATCTTGGGATGTGACACATGGGAGGGGTTTAAAATTAGCACTGGGCGGCAGGAGGAAATCCAATTCCCGGGGGGATTTCGAGCCCTGCCTGTGCCGGGAGCTTAACGCGAACCCCCGGGAATCACAAAGTTCTCCGCGACCGTCCGTTCGGTCTGATCCTGGATGGATCAAAACGGTGCTTCTGCAAAACCGGGACCACTTGGTTCCACGCGGGCTTTGGGTTTTTGTCTGTGAAGAGAAACACAGACTTGGCACAGGAGAGAGAGAGAAAAGGGAAGGCCAAGTGTCTCCTCCTGGCCGCGGCAGGCAGCCGCAACCTGGCTTGGTCGTGCTACGGAGTGAAACGGCCTGACACGTGGGGCGGCTTGACGGCAGTTTCACGGAGCTTCGTCTTCTGAGTAACAAGGGCTTTGTGGCATGGGTTCCTCAACCAGCTCCTGGGTGAAGCCCCGCGATGCCGGCTGGACATCCCCGGCAGCTCCGTTCTCCTCCCCAGCTAACGCCAGCTGCAAGGCACTTGCGAGGGCACCCAGCTCGTGATGGAGCCGAGCCTGCCCAGATCTGCAGTCCTGAGAGGCCTCGGCTCCGTGTTCGCAGGGAAGGGGTCCAGTATCCGCTCTATTTAAGGAGCTAATGCCAGGGGCTACAGGGTCCCAGTGCGTGGCTAGAGATGCCCAAAGCAGGACGAAGCATGGGTTGAGCTGTGCCAGGCTCGCAGACCCTCCTTGGCATCACCCCTCGCTGGCGTGGGGCTGCTGGAGGACATGGCGATGCCTGATCTAGTCAACATCCCCCCATGGCTCCCTCTGCCCCTGCCCAGCACCTGTTACCCTCTGCCCCTACGCAGCAAGCGCTGCCTTGCACCTGATCTTCCCTCTCCCAGAGCCCTCTGCACAGAGCCTGCAAAATTAACATTCACCCGGCTGCCGAGGATTCAGCCTACAACGAATCACAGGAAGAGGCAGCCTCTTCGGCCTCTGGCACGTTACATATAACACGCAATTCACTGGGGCATCTTGCCATAAATTTAGACCAGCCACATGTGCCAAATAGTTATCATACGATTAACTGGGGAAGCACACGATACATTTTAGACTGGCCACACATGCAAAGTAATGGTCAAGCCATAAAAATGGCTGTCCAGCTACAAAAAGGGCCGACCAGCTACAAAGTGAGGGCTTGAAAACGTGCAACAACTTAATAGCTGGTTTCTACCCAGCTTGAATTTGACCGTGAGGCAGAGACCTTAGGCACCTGAGGCCCAGAAACTGAAGTGCGGCAGGCAGCAGCTGCAATTCAAACCCTGCTGCCCATGGGCTGAGCCCCAAGAAGGGCCCAGGCTTGCTCATCTTCCCTGCAGGCACTGCTAGGATTGCTCTTCCATGCTTCCTGCTGCGCAGAGGTGTTTCTGGTAGCCCCGTCTTGTGCAGAGACACGGTGAAATCATGTAGGATCATAGGAAAATCAGGCTGAAGCGACCTCATGGGGTCACGTCTAGTCCAGCCCCTGCTCACAGCAGGCTTGGCCCTGACCAAACCATCCCAGCCTAGAGTCCATCCAACCTGCTCTGGAAAACATCCAGGGAGGGAGATCCCACCACTTCCCCAGACAGCCTGCTCCAGCGCCGGACCACCAGTCAAGGAGTTCCTCCTCATCGCCAGCCTCAGTTTCCCCTGCTGCAGCTTGAGACTGTTGCTCCGAGTCCTGTCCCCTGTGGCCACAGAGAAAAGCCTATCTCCGTCCTCTCTACCATCGCCCTGCAGGGACTTGAAGCCCATGATCAAACCCCGCCTTGGTCTTTTCTCCTCCAGACTTGGTC